AAAAAACCCTTAATGTAGGAAAGAGACCATAAGTTGCTGCCAACATCAAGAAAGCAAGGTTGTCGTCATGTCATGTCATTTCGACATTTGCTATTGATAATTTGACAAATGTTAACAATAAAATAAAATTTTCATAATTTCATGCGGATGATGCCGCATGGGAACAGCTAGTTTTAAATAATTAGTGACTAAATACAGTGCAATTTGTGCAAAATGTTGTGCGATTTATCTATTGTTTCGGGATCAAAGAGAGACTAAACAGTTGTGCTATAGTTTAGTTTTACTTGTGAACGCACGCTTTTAAAAGAACCGAAAAGAATACATTAATATTAATAAAAACTCGTCAAATAATGTTAATTTCATATTTCCCCCAGTATCGGAACTTTCTCGAATTGTTGGACGGTACAAAGATTTCTCTACCAGTGGAAAAGATTGTTTGAAACTTCTGAGAAGACACGGAACAAGCAAAAGCGTCACGAGATATTGTAAATTCAATTTCACTGTTTATTCTTGTTTTTTACTTTCTTATTTTTGTTTTTATCTTACTGTGCTTATTTTTTAAAGATTGTTTTATATGGGACTATGTTATTTACTGTTATACTTTGGATAATTTTAAAAAATACTCTGTTAAAGAAAATGTTGCAACTACAAAATCTATAAAACTTAACTTATCTGTACCATCAAACATTTATACAAAATACAACTGTTCCAAATGTATTTAATTTACAATTACGAGTATAACATTTCTCTTCTGTAACCAGAAGTATACTAAAATGCATGCCAATAACATTGACTGCTTTATTATATTTTTAATTCATTAAACATTTTCGTGCATTTTTATTGAAGGTAGAGAAATCTGAACCAACAGAGCTGATTAAAATTTCTTACCAACGAAAATTTTAATTAAAACCCAGCATTGTACGCTGCGTAATGAAAATCACTGATTATTTAATTATTTACGAAACTTATTAATGGAAACAATGATGTCCATTTAATATTAAAATGTACACAAGCTGATGTTTCGTCCGTTTGTTTACATAAGTTAAATTACTTTACTGTGATTAAAAAATGGATGGATGTTTGTTAGAGTTTGTAGCCTAAACGGCTGAACGGATCTCGATGACATTTGGTGTAGGTGTAGAGTATAGTCTGGAAGAACGCATAGACTACATTTTTTCTATTACACGCGGACGAAGTCGCGGGCATAAGCTAGTATGTACATAACTAACCCCACGTTCTTACGTCGAAGGAAAACACCGTGATGTAACCTGCACATGTCAGCGAAGAAATTGAAGTGAACCAACCCGCAGTGGGCCAGCGTAGTTGACTATGGCCTAGTCACCCCTTATTAGGGTAAGCTCCGAGCCCCTCAGTAGGGACGTGAGCTGGTGATGATGATATTTAACCGACTCACAGAAAGTGGATATATTTCGTAACACTTGATATCTCTATTATTCTCTTTGATAACATAAAGACATGTTTTAATACGATAACAGCATCGACTTCCTTGTGTGAACAGATTCCATTGATTAACCATTTGCCAAGTAACTTGCTAGCGGATATAAATTTCTCTCTAGAGGGCGTCACTACCGCACTATAAGATTTATTACCTGCATTTAAACGCATCGTATTACACTAACGAACATTGCTGCACTCAGAGACGTTTAATGGTCTTAAGTTACTACTTTATGCTGGGTTTCTGAAGTTCCCGAGTATATTATCATTACCTAGTGATTCATTAGTGTTAGGTTGACCTAGGTTTTCACGGAGTAAAACTGAAGAAATGCAGTTCGGAAACACATTCTATGAAGTTATCGTACCAAAAACATTGACGAATGGTTAATTGTACCTCGGAAACTGGTTATTAGTGTGTTAGTGAAAAATGCTAAGCGCCTGTTGAAATTATGATATTTTTAATAAAACAATAATTGGCACATTTTAATACTGAAATTTTTATTCACCGATTTACAAAGAAACGCGGTATAAAGTTAAAATTAAGAATAAACTGAGTGTAAGCAAAATTTGTACTAATATTTGTGTATACCTAAGTTGAACTTTATATCGCGTTTATTTGTAAGGCTGTAAATCAGTATGTTTATGTTAATCTGTTACAGATTACGGTACATTAAAGGCATGTCATAAAACCTAGTAGGTCGATAGTCCGCAGTCGGGACGAGCCGCTAGGGAAATTTTTACCTCGCGCTTTTACTGAGATTATGTTTTAAATATCCTACGTCGAGTAAATATTTATGAACAACCTTTTTTATTTCTTGATAGAAAACAGTTATTTCTATTAAAAATCATAAATATTTTGATCTGGTAAGTAATGATTTTTTTCTTTTTATTTATATACGTAAAAATTAACACGTTTCCGTTAGAGCGTGGAATGTGAAAATTTATGAGTTAAAATTAGCTGGAAAGTTGAAAAATTTTGTATAAATTCTTTCCCTTTCCAAATGAAGTGAAGAGAAAGTGGATTGGGCGGTGTAAGAGACGCATAGGAAAGGGAAATATTCTCTTTATGTGCGTCTCCTTCTCCGTCGATTAAGGGTAGGCAACACAACTGCGATTGCGGAGGTCTGAGCAGCGCTCGCTTCGCTATTTTGCAGGTTTCATCGATTGCCACATGTTATATAAAAAAAATCGAAAAGATTAAGTCATATACCGTCAGATAATGGACATAATTATTTGAAACTCTTTATATCATCAAAGCGACATTAAAAGTAACGACGTTAAATGTTCTCAGATCATTAACAAGCTACATTATCAGCAATAATTTCGATCGGAAATTAAATTTCGAAGGCAAAAAACTTGCCTAAAAAGGTCTCAATCAAATACTCATCAATCAGCGATTGTCGTCTTAAAAAAAGTTATATCCGCCGAGGAAATGGATTCCGATATCTACTGTCGTTGACAAAAAGATGGAACGTTATAATATAACACATTTGTATTTAAACTTAAAGATAATAGAAATAATTTCAACGCTCTACCATTGTCATATCTCAACCAATATCATCGCTGAGGGGCTCGAAGCATACCATAAGTTAGGGATGACTAGGCCAGCGTAAACCATGCTCGAAAAAAGAGATAACCACTATAAATTACCTTTAATGTAATATTCCATACCAGTGATCAGAATTAACAACGTATTGTTCTGATACTAGTACGAGTATATATAGATTCTATACATTGATGTATCCATGAGAACCGACCTTTATTTACAACGCAATCTACTACAAAAAAACAATACTAAGAACATAATATATTCAGTACAGAACATAATGGGCAAAAAAGTCTAAATAGACTTTGGTACGATATTTTTTTAAATCTTATGGCTCACAATAAAAATTACATCAAGATTTTAAAATTTTCCTCTTTTTTATCTTATTGTTCTATGTCTCTGAAGGGATTATTCCCAACCGTCACCCAGTACTGTAACACATGAAGACAGATGAGAATAAAACGTTTCATCCGTCCCACCTTATGCGACGAGGTGACGGTTGGAACTTATTTTATATCATAACGGTTCCATCTGTCACCTTATTAGTTATAGTGTGACTAAAAGATGGGACGGATGATTTTTTTATTCTCACGTGGGGACAGAGCGGGGAGACGGTTGGGAATAATCCCCCTGAAGTGGGGCAGTGATTTTAAAATAGTAATTGTGTTAAATTCTTTTCAGATACTTCAAATAGCGTACCATACGTAAATAGCATACCATAGTCGGTGCCGTCACCGGAGGATAAAAGCGAGAGTTGAGCCGTTTATGAATAATTATCGCTTAAAGTAATGTCTCACGATATTTTAAACAGTTTAATTTGACTTGAGTATTGACTTAAATGTCCAAACAAAATACATTTAATTAAAAATTCAACCCCCAAACGAGATAAGATGAACTCAAAAAGGGTCAAATTATAGATCCGCTTAATGTATCAATATTATTTAATTTTATAAGCTGATTGTTGTAATCAGATCTCCTTGAACTAATGACCCGGAGGTAAGTCATCCGATCTTGAGACAAGACTTTGTCGTTAATATTATAGTTCGGCTAATAAATCTTGGGACCAACATGTTTTAAAATGGGTTTCAATATCATCAACGCGTATGTTTTTAACATGTAGATGGTTAAAGTGTTGAAAATGGAAGTGCATAGGTAGACTTAGAAAGAGATGGATGGATTGCGTGAAAGGTGGCATGATCAAAAAGGGAGTGATGACTGAGATGACGTATGATAGAGTTATGTGGAGGACAAAAACCTGTTGCGTCGCTACGGGAGTAGGATAAGGAGGAAGATGATGATGGTTAAAGTGTTGAAAATTACATGTTTTTGAGATGTAAAGTGAAAATCTCACGTATTTAAGAGTAATTTTATATCTTCTCAAAGTCAATGTATTGTTAAATTTTGTATAACATAAAAATACATTTGTTTTAATTAATTTATGGACAAAATACAAATTAACGGTACTATAATGTGCGCATAGTTCAATTTAAATTAAATGACAAAATTCTTGTTACAAGTTTAATTCGATTCCAACTATAAGGAAAAAGACACTTTTATTGTTTAGAGTACTAATTTTCCTTTTATTTGACCGTGAAAATTATCCTAAAACCACATAAAATAGGTTAACATAATTCTTATAATTTAACGCTTGTATTTAAAAAAAAAACATTTGTTTACAAATTATTAACTAACTTTCGTTGGCATCACCGTAAAATTAAAAAAAAAAAAAACAAAAACGGTAGCCTATATTTTCTTCCAGACTATGCTCTACATCTATGCCAAATTTTATCGAGATTCTTTCAGCAGTATAGGCAGCAAACTTTAACAGACAGTCCATCTAAACACGCATTTATAGTTTTAGAATGATATGATCATTGTACTGGTTTTTTAATGTGTGGCAATATTATTGGTAGTAAAAAATGTGCCAACCCTATAACGTAAAATCTTAAAAGATAACCTCATACGGTTGTTAGTAATTATTACTTAACATAACAGTCGAAGGCCGGACTCTGTGCGTGACGGACGTCTGTTTTTTAAATTAAGTGACCATGTTGCTGCCAATATTTCATTTTTCCGCTGCAGCGATAGATGCATATGTGTTTTGGTACGATCAGAATTATGTGGACCTGCCATTTAAAAATCCCATGGTGAAAGAATTACCGTTAAAATCTCGTTGCATGTTCTTAACGATCTGGTGTCTCGTAAGTTTTTTATAATTTTTTTAATTACTTATCCATACAAGTATACCCTTTTATTATCTTGAGATTTTCTTACATAATTATAGTTATCAATAATTGTTATTTCCGCTTTGTTTATCATAATTAAATCGCCTATAACTATCAGTTTGTATATTTTATATAAATTATTATGCTAATAAGAAAATGATGCAATCCTTTATTGCAAAACTATTAAAAAATATGTTACGATTACTAATGCGTCAGCTGTAATTATTATAATGTTCAAATACTAATACTGAATGCCTTTTTTGTGGCACTTGTTTTTTATAGTTCATAAGTAAAAAGTATAATAATATCGCTATCGCTGTCATTCCCTTTGAAGTGAGCAAGACATAATTTTGTTCTAAATTGAATCATGTTTAAGAAATGTATTGTAGCGGCCAGGTTTTGGTAGTTGCATCAGTTGCTAACTGTAAATTGACCAGTTCCGTATTCGAGCATTCCATAAACGAATTTATCGTTCGTAACGAATTTCACAAATATTATAAATGCGAAAGTTTATATGAGTGTTTATTTATAGAGTTTGAAGCCTAAATTCCTGAATGGATCTCAATTAAAGTCACATATGTAGAACATAATTTGGAAGAAAACATAGACTTACTTTTTTAATTCCACGCGTATGGATACGCGACCTTTACTTTAATTACATGAGATCCTAAGTAAAATTTTGACCAAAATTGTTAGTAAATATATTTGCTAAACATTTATCTGAAGCCATTGTCACCCTGCTTGTTCCCTCTGGTAAATCGGTGACAAATGGCAAGAAGACGGTAATTTAAACAAATTGATAACGCATGCATTTTTAGTGCAGGTTTCCAACGCGGAAATTCTACAAAACAGACTGTTGTTTCTCTTATTTTAAAGCAAAAGGAATAGGAAACTTTTTACAGGTTATTAAGCAGTGGAAATAAATGGTTATTTCGTTTCTTTTGGTCACGTTCATATTCAAATGCATTTTCAATTATTCACATGAATTTATTCTAATAAAATGTCTTTTATTTTATAATTAATGTTATATGAAAAATTATTAGTCACTACTTTGAATACCACCATTTTATTATCAAGTTACAAAATAATTATTTTATGAAAGAAACAAATGAATGTTAAAAACAATAATAAAAGCATCGCTATTAAATGCATAAATATTAACACAATATAAAATAATAATTATTAACTGAGTAAAATATGAGAAAATCAAATAGCCATTAGTTAATTACAGAGTACTAAACGTCCAAAGGTGTAATTAAGTTTATTGCGTGTCTATCTAAATATGTCAATTATTTGCACAACAATGAAGTTACACAAATACAGTCGGTCAATGATAACAAGTTCTATAGACAAGTATAGTTCTGTTCAAACGTTATTACGGCTCGCTCGACCACTGCCATGTCAACTGCCAACTTTGTTAATAATAAATATCTCCTATTCTAAGTTATTTATCCCTGACTTTTCTTACTGTTTATTATTTAATACCCCATTATCTATATTAATTTATTTTCCTGTCCTAGGTTGCCTAGAAGTATTACATTTAGCGATAAAACCACGCTTGTTTACATATAATAGATAGAAAAAAATTAATAGCATGAAATGGTTATTTCAGATTTTTTAATTCGCAATACACAATCCCTTGCTTGCTAACCACGAGCCGTCGTTTCGTTTGAATTTCATTGTACACGCTTTTAAAACTAAACTAAACACTGTTATGCAATATGTAGTCAACTTAAAACGGTTATTTGCATTCTGTCACTTAGCTTCGACAAATAAAACGCTGTTTTAATTATTAAACCAACAATTTCGACTAACTAACCTAACCTAACCTACATCCCTTCAAAAATGTAAATTGGTGGTTGCTTTAATATGTTTCTAGTATTTTCATTATTTCACCACTGTTAAGAGGTCCTCATCGAGGAGTTTACGCTAAGTTATGGTTGACTAGACTAGTCAACCACACTGGTCTTCGGATTGGCTTCACAAACATATTGGTATCTTCACAGATATGTCCAAATGTCCTCACGATGTTTTCCTTTATTGTAAAAACTTTCAGCACACGTGTTAATACCATGAAAAATGCATCCTTTGGTCGCCACGATGTCGCGACAGGCTGTACCTATGTCGCGTCTGTAATTAGTAATGTATGTCGCTTGCACAGCTCTGACAGACAAACTGTACATATTCTATGCATTGCAATGACTGCGGTCCCAAAAACAAATATAAAAAAGGTGCTTTGCACAAAAAGGTAACGACGTAAAAACGTAACCAGTTTGGTATTTTGCTATACAGTTTCAACCTTGACAAGTAACGTAAAAACAAATAAAACTTCAAGGTTGAGAAAAAAATAAAACGTTGAAAATTATATTTCGGAATGTAGAATTTTTTAATAAAAAAGCAAGTATTATTTTTACAACACTTTGCTAAAATTATACTTAAATTAACTTTGTAAACGGTACAAGTTTTGTATTATATACTAAGTGTTGCTTGCGACTTCGTCCACATGAAATTAAAAAATTTTGAAATCGATCTAGTAGTTTTTGAGTTATTTCAATATATACAACAAATCTTTCCTCTTTATAATATTAGTATAGACTAGCTGTTGCCCGCGACTTCGTCTACGCAATATTAAGATGAAAAAGTAGCCTATAATATGCCCGTCTATATCAGCTACCTTTCAGTCCTGAAGTCCTGAAAGTCCGGTCAAAATCGGCCCAGCCGTTTCGGAGATTACCCGAAAAAAACGCGGCTTGCAGACAGACAGACAAAAAAAATTAATGCGATTTTCATTATCAACAACGCGAAATATGGATTTTTTCTTATAATATTACAAACAGACACTCCAATCTATACTCTATATACTAATATAATAAAGCGTAAACGCACACTACTTTGTGGCGTAAGATGTCAGCCATCACAGCATATTTTTGAACAATTCTTTCTTTAATAAAAAGCCCTACACTCACGTCACGGTTTAGGCTAAATTTCACGCATTTAAACTCAGGGGGTAAATCAATTGGTTAAAAACCCTAATGTGCGAAAGGGACCATAAGCTACACTTTCATTCGGATGAAACCGGACGAGAACAGCTAGTTTTATTACATTAGTGTAAATGCAGATATAGATATAGATTTGTATTGTATATAGTTTACATTGTAGTGTGCAAGAAATGACTTGCGGAAACCCAATTAATGTAATATTCCATACCAGTGATCAGAATTAACAACGTATTGTTCTGATACTAGTACGAGTATATATAGATTCTATTCATTGATGTATCCATGAGAACCGACCTTTATTTACAACGCAATCTACTACAAAAAAAACAATACTAAGAACATAATATATTCAGTACAGAAGATAATAGGCAAAAAAGTCTAAACAGACTTTGTAACGATAATCTTTTTTTTAAATCCGAATCTTATTATGACTCACAAAAAACATTACATCAAGATTTCAAATTTTCTTCTTTTTTATCTTATTGTCCTATGTCTGTGAAGGGATTATTCTTAACCGTCACCCCGTACTGTAACACATGAAGACAGATGAGAATAAAACGTTTTATCCGTCCCACCTTTTGCGACGAGGGGACGGTTGGATCTTATTTTATTTCATAACGATTCCATCTGTCACCTTATTAGTTATAGTGTGACTAAAAGGTGGGACGTATGACTTTTTTATTCTCACGTGGGGACAAAGCGAGGTGACGGTTGGGAATAATCCTCCTGAAGTGGGGCAGTGATTTTAAAATAGCAATTGTGTTAAATTCTTTTCAGATACTTCAAATAGCGTACCATACGGTTGCTTTCTTAAATGATGTCTTCGGAACTAACGCTGCATCACCAAAGAAGAAGCCTACAATAAGACTAATTAAAGATGTACTATTTAGCGTAGCTTTCCCCATCGCTATGTACGTATCTGGGGCATTCTGGGGCATATATGCTGTCGACAAAGACTTAATATTCCCAGAACATATAGCTAAATTATACCCTGTTTGGGTGAATCATGTTTTACATACGACGGTGGCTATTTTCATGTTTATAGAACTTTTAACTACGAACAGAAATTATCCGTCTAGAAAAGTAGGGCTTTCTGTAATGTCGGTTTTTATAGGTGCTTACATTTCATGGTATTTGACTGTTTATTTCAAGACCGGAACATGGGCTTATCCACTTTTCGATGAGTTAAATTGGCCGTTGAGAATAATGTTCCTTTTATTCAGTTACTTACTAGTAATAGCGATCTACATTTTTGCTGAGAAACTCAATTATGTGACTGGGTCTAGTAAAGTTGAGAAAAATCTAAGTGGTAAACATAAAAAACGTTAAGTTATGTTTTGTTAATTGAAATGTAATGTCATGTTTTATATGTTAAAAATAAGTTATTTAATAAAATACATGTTTAATTACTATTACAACGTCTTTTTATTAAGCCTGTCGCTGAAATGCTTGAAAATCGATTATTTCGATTTCATTTTAAACATCGATAAACGTGTGTGTTTTATGTTTAATATAACTTTAAAACGTTACTTGTATGTAATTTATGTTACTTTAGCTATATGTTATTACTGTTATAATATGTCTGTATCAACATTAAATCTATTTTTTTAATCTTATCGCTTTTTCATACGATATATGAACAAAATTAGACAATCAATGGACTTTGATAGATTTGATTACGTAAATTGTTGAATAATAAAGCGATTTAACACCTAAGTGATTTTATTATTTCATTCAGTTACACAGTTTTTACATAAATCTATTGATTACAACACATATTTTTAAAGAAATAAATATTTTTTTCAAAACTTAAACAATTTAGTCAAAGTATACCGCACTTCGGGCATCTGTTTCTTGTTGTGCGTGTTCTTATTACTAGGAGTATAAGTGCTATATTCGTATGCCACTCTTCTGTTGACAGCTGTCGCTATGTGTAGTACGTCTAATGCGTCGTGATACTTGTCGATCGCTTGGCAAAGCTCTTGTATCAAGAAGGAGCCTAATGCTGTACGGAATGCCGCATAACCTGGAATAATAATCGATCATCTATATCTATACTAATATAATCAAGCATAAACACACAAAGGATGTCAGAAGTCAAAGCAATTTTTTTTAACAATCTTTTTTTTTAATAAAAGCCCTACACTTACGCGCTTTAGGCTATATATTTTCACGCTATTAATTATTAACAGCTTGTTAACTTATAAAAATATAAAAACAGCTAGCTGTCTCTCCAAAGAAGACTCATCGAATTGCCAACATTATGAAAACAACCAACTTGTATCCATTCTCAGCAGCTATAGGTAGGACCCTTTCATAGTAACCTTTAAACCAAACTTCTTACAGAGAAATCAATACGAATTTTATTATCTACCTTCAACACTAGAGTACATAGTGAAGAAATCTGCGTGCGAGGGGACGTGGAATGTGAGGTCATCGTCGCCGTCCAACTGAACCGTCCTGCCATCGTCCATGTCACCACCGCGACAAGCCTGGTAAGCAAAATCGTAAAACGTGAACAAGTCCAGTTAACACTTTCACTGCGTAACAGGCCGATATCGGCCTGACGCGGTACTTAAGCTGGCGCGGACGACGAAAACTATGTCCCTCTCGCTAATGCGAAACAAATTTTAAGGTGTATACGTTACATTACGTAAAATGTATATAATGTTTCCACAATTTTTATAGCAATATAAACTATCGTAGTGCTGGTGGGTCTAGAAAGACCTGCCACATATTGGTGGAAATATCATTGGGCGCATTTTGGCTCGCCGCACCAGATGAAGAATTATGATTTTACTTGCCGCAGTAAACGTGTTACCACTTGGCATGCGGGATTACTTTGCAACAGAATTACGCGTGTAAAACGAGCGAAGATTTGATTTTTATAGAAAAAATTGCAGTAAATCGAAAACTTCTATGTTATCTACCACAAATCTACTAAATGCGCATTTTTAAGTGACCCTCGCTCCAGTGGCACATTGCAAGAAACATGCCTGCCAAACAAACACGATGCCTGCATGCCAAGTGTTAAAAATGAAGACTAATTTTTATTAATATCTTTTTATAACATTAGTATAAATAAGACAATATCTCTCTTGAATTATAACAGCATAAAAGTAGTTTTAATACCTGTATGAAAAAGAGTTTGGGTTTATTGACTAAACTCTGGTCTCCGTTTTCCAGCATCTTTGTGACGTCACTAAACTGGTACGGCCGGTCCGACGCGAACAGTTGCCCGCCCTTGTCACCGTGAGTGAGAATCGCGAAGCATAGACAAGACGTTGTAGTGTGGTCCATACGACTTACTGAAAGGAATACAAAAATATGCTTTTAAAGTTAATTAACATACTTTTATAAACATTATTATCCTAGTCATTTTGACAAAATGAGATGTACCTTAAAAATCTTACTTCTAATATTATAAATGAATAGGTTTACATGGATGGATAAACGGCTAAAAAAAACTCGATTTAACTGTTTCTTTAATTGCTCGCAGACTCGCGGACAATAGCTTAGTTGCTCTTATATATATACTCCGGGAATTTATCAGAAAATAATAAGGAGAATTTTAAATTTATAATTTTCTTCGAACCGTAGTAAGTACCTTATTGGCAGTATCTCATTGGTTGTTCTAGAACTACAAATCAATAACAGAATACAATGGCCCAATCACAGTAAATGCACAAAGACAAGTACATTGTAAAGTTTGTAGATATTCTAATTAACTTAATTAAAAAATAAAATGGATTATCTATGGAAAGGATTCATGGTTCGCAACATTCTAATATCTACGAACTTATTTTTTTTTCTATAATATAAGGTGGCAAACGAGCAAGCGGCCACCTGAATTCACAGAAATGGAAAGCGACCGCTGCCTATAAACATCCGCAATTGCAGATGCCTATCCTTAATTGACGGAGGAGGAGACGTACATAAAGAGGACATTTCCCCTTCCTATGCGTCTCCTCCACCGTCAAATCCACTTTTCCTTCCCATCCTTCCCTCTTAAGAAAAGGATGGAAAGAAAGGGACTAAAATTAAGTTAATTTATCAAACATCTTACTTTCCAACGCCTTGTTAAGTATTTCGCCGTGATCCAAGTCATGGTAAGTTAGCACCTTGTATCCTAAGTTGGAAAAAGTTTTCTTGAGTGATTCTACGTCTTTTTCCGTACCTTTTCGTGGTGTCGGAGTTTGAAAACTACGTGAAATTATAAGAAACAAATTACGGTTAGATAATTTTTACATCATCGATTTAAGAGAGGACGCACACATTTGACAAAATTATCGCACAACTGTTTAGTCGCACATTAACTTCTATGAGCTTAACATATATGAAAGTGCGAACACTACTCAATTACTATTTGTGTAACTAACAGTTGAATTGACTGCAAGACAATCGACAATTAATCAACAGTTTTGCACTAGTTTACTCAAAGATGTGCCCCCGCTCCAAGACTATTTCTAGATCTTGGTATCATTAAAAAAAACATATTACGTACTGAAAATATCTCGTCGTTTTATATTTAGTGTGATTAAATATCACAAGATATTTATCTCCGGACATATCATAGAACATATCTTCAGGATTGAATTTTGGTTGTGCTTTGGTTGCAATTCTGGTTTCATCGCCTGCGATTGTTTTGGTATTTTGGCTGTAATAGAAAGACGTTAATTAATGTTACCTTAAACCTTAAGAACCAATATTTTTGCATTAATTGTATAAGGGAAGATTAACTGAATCTGATTGGATAGAAAAGAATCTGGATAATGAAGTCGTATGAATATTATGAAACATATTTCTACTTCGTGTTTTGCTCTGTTAATTCGTGGCACTATATTAAAAAATTTTCTTTAGTGTATTTAGTTTTTCTTGAAACCAATTTTTACCTTTCTAAAATAATCTATCGGAAGTCGCAAGTGACAAAACATACCTTGAATTTGTTGGATAGCTTGGGTTAACATCCGAGAAGGTTTCTTCCATTTTCACTAATTATAATAAACTGCAATAAATAATACAACAATGTATATAACTGGAGGCACAGCTAGCTGCAAAAATGATAAGTGGTCGAGTGTTAAAAGTATGATAAAAATGATAAGGGGCAGTAAACCGCCGATTGTCGTCATATTCATGTACCAACTTTTATGTGTTTTAATTTACTTGAATCAATTTTTGTAGGAATCTCATCCTCAGCTCATAATAGCGGTAAATATGTATATGATGAAGGGTTCCAGCCTTTAGTTGGTGCTTTATTCATTAGGGAACTCTATTATTAGTCGTTTTAAAAAAAATTCTAGGTAAGTTTGACGTCTAAAAAATTTGTAGTGAACAATAGGGAACACTGAATGTAATTTTTAATAAGTTATTAATAAAAATAGTTGTCGCCGAATGAGACTATATTAGAACTACGTGTTATCAATTCAAAGGCATTAATAGTACTAGTTAAAAAAAAATCGTATGAACTATTGACAGAAGCGGGTCTTGCCCTTGATAAGTTCGTGGTATTGGTGATATGAACCAGTAAGGGTCTGCATAACAGGATGTGCAGATGGTGTCGTCTTTAGACAAGTAAAGATAGAACAATAGTTTATTAACAAAATTTATTTACAATAGAATATTTTAAATAACAACATGAGATTCAAATCCTTCTACAATAAATTTAATATCTTCGTCTTCCTTTTTTTTACGTCTCGATCGTCTTTTACGGTTACTCCATTTGACTGTAGTTAAGTTCATAGTATTAAGGCATTTGTTAAATAAATGACACAAGCTTTTGTAAAAAGTTAACACACTTGTAGCACCTTTGATGTATTGTTCAAAAAAATGTATCGGGTCATCTTGGTTTTCTAATTTCAGAGCTATATTGTAAATAAATGTCCCATTATAACATTTGGAGTAGATTGTTCTTTTAAAGGGCTCTCCACATAAAGTATTGAGTCCATTAAACTGAAGCAAACAGCTCTGAAACTGGGCAAATGAATGTATTTTCTTAACATCATAACTTTTAGGCCTCTTTCTAATGCTGTCGTCAATTTCAAAGTGTTTTAACAGAACACTAGCAGCTAAAAGACAGTCCTCATATTGAATTTTGTGTTTATTCAAAAATAGTTCATCTTCAATTGACACTGGTACATCAGGTCTCTTTCTCAGTTCTTCAAGTTTCTTAGAATGTTTATTATTGAAAAAACTGTGTCCACGGAATGTTCCAATTTTCTCATCGATAGCATCCAAGAAGATATAAGTTATTATTAAGCTATGAACATGAGCTAGTGGTACACTACAGTTGGATATCCACCATAATATAGATATCATATATAATTGAAAATTTGGTGGCAAAAACTCTATGACTTCACAGTCTAATGATGGCATTTTCTGTTCAAGGAAATGATAGAAACATTTCTTCAATTCATCATCATTTAGTTTGTTAAATGGTGTTTCTATTAATCTTGATATTGAATATTCTCTATCTATTAACAATCTCTTATAGTTACAATTGTTTTCTCTACTGACATATACAAAATTTTCATGTGAAAAATCAGTTAACACATCGAACACATATCTAAGTATTGGTAATGCCCAGAGCGATGCATCTTCATCAGAATAATCTTCAGCTTGCGGTGAACTGAAGTACAATTGATGTGTAAATAGATTAATATATAACCTAGGAATCCTATTCAATCTAATGTACTCTGCAAGCCAATTTGATATTCCATTTAAATTTTGATCATCTGAATTTGTGTTCTCGTTATTTGTTGATGAACTATCATCACTCTGTTCATTATCACTTTGATCACCGTTGTCAATTTCATTCTCATTTACAGTTATTGTTATGTTGGTATCTAAATCTTTAGGTTCATTGTTACATAGATTAAAATATTTTAAAGATAGACAATGTTTTCTATTGTAGCCGTTAATACTTTTTGTAATTATTGAGAGTACTTTCGTCCTTCTATCCTTTTTTATTCTACCTAATATTTTAGATATCGCCGAATCAAGAGTTTCATCCTGCAACCATTTAAACAATGAATGAATGTTTCTTTGTTGCTCATTTCTGTTGATCCTACTTTTTTGTAATTTTAATTGTGAAAAAAACTTATTGAAAACTCTCTTCTCTACAAAATCATTGCCAAGTAATGTTGCCAGCAATGGCAGGAGCTCTTCTTTTAAACCACCAAAATTAGCAACCAAATATTCAACTTTATAAATCTTGCATTCCATAACATACACTTTATCGTTATTGATTATAACTTGTTTTGGTTTCCTTTCAAGAGTATTGAATGGTATGTACTGTACATTATAAATGAAGAAATCTGAATCGTAACTGAGTACTGGGCAGTTCAAATATCTAGCCATAGCTGCGATTTCATCGTCAGCTTCGAATTCACAAGTTGTATATGGGACCATCATTTCAATGAGAACTTCTTTAAAAACATCCCTAAGCAGCAATGGAAATATTTGTAAGCTCGACTGCGTAACAGGGTCTAACCGTGAAGCCCCATTTATCTTTGATCTTAATCTATTATATGCTGTTTTTAGTTTTCTCAGCTCGTAGCTTCCGTCGAAAAGAACGAACGGTTGGACATTGCATTTTCGTAAACTTTTAAAAAATGTTCTTGTATATGATGCAAATTTGTCGTAATCGCCTCCAAAGGCTGAGAAACAATTAAGGCACCGATACAATTGTGAACACAGGCTGTGGCCATCGATCACAAGATTACAATCTCGAAGATAATGCCGACGTAAAAACGTATCCTGGTTACCATTTATGTACGTAGTTAATCCTCTAACTCCCATCTTAAAACTGCTTAAAAGTGAGCAAAATCAATTAATAAAACTCCATCTAGTTCAAAATTTATCACAAAAGTCTTAAATCTAATTTAAAAGAAAAATATAATCAACAAGTGCTTTCAAATTTGAGGTTATGTCGATTAAGTTGTCAGTTGTCACTTATTTTCTACGACATTTGAAAGTTGTTGCCATTTGTCTATTTTAGCTTGCTATATGTTTTTCTTTTCTAGCTGTATTTTAATGAATTAGAGGTAATCATTTAAAAAATGATAGTTTTATGGAAAAATTAACAGAACCAATTTTCACTTCTGTTATTTTTCTAACAAATATGTTTTCAAAACGGTCATTGTACATTGCAACATAATGCGCGGTGGACACTTGTCCAGTACAGTTGATCAAAGCGCTCTATAACTGGCATGTCAATCAAATGGCATAGCGTGAACGCGCCAGGGAGTCCACAATCCGCGCAACTATCCAACTGTACTGCCCAAGTGTAAACTGGGCATTAGTCTATACTATACTGTCATTTCTTGACACTCGTACGACAATTTCACCAACATCACCAAACCAAACCAAACCATTTTGATATTGCGCCGGCGTGTTCGTTCTTATTGAATGAAAACTAAAACACGTGTTTCGATATAAGGATAATTTCCAGCTAAGTTTAAACACTTATCGTAGATATTAAAGTCTAGAATCAGTAAAGATCTGTAAGTATTATTATTCTATTTCAACAATTGCACCACGTTTTCATATTAATACTTCGCGTGGGGTTAAAAAAATAAATGTATTCACTTATGCCGTAGATTTTCTGCAATGACTGAAGAAAAAGAAGTAGCGACTGAAACCAACGGTCAAGAAAATGATAAAGAGAATAATGCCGAGGAGGAAACTCATTTAGAAAGTGCCATTATACGACAAGTTGAATACTATTTCGGTGCGTAAGATACAGTTATAACATCTAGAATACATATAGTGATTTTAAAAAATGTACTCTTACTTTACTTTTAGCCAACTTCCTAACAGGAGAAAGTTATTCGTCTGATTTTAGTATTGTAGTTTTTTATTCTTTGTTAAAATATCAAATGTATGTAATACCAATTATTCATGCACACATCAATGTCAATTTACATGTTTGCAGGCGATGTCAATCTGCCTCGGGACAAATTTTTGGGTGAACAAGTTACCCTGGATGATGGCTGGGTGCCCCTCGATGTGCTCACAAAGTTCAACAGACTGGCTAAACTGACTATGGACACAGATATCATTGCTAATGCTCTTGCCAAATCAACATCTGGTCTTCTAGAAGTATGTATAATTTTATTAACTCTTTTTGTTAAAATGTAACAACAAACTACTCAGCCAAATAATCCCCAAGCTATGCATTTAGTGGGAAATATATAGTATCAATAAAGAGTAATTTTAAGTTGAAAAAGTTAAACTACTTAAGTTAAAAAGAGAAAAAACTATATAAGTTCTTTCGTTTTTATCTATTAATTGTTATTTAATTTTAAATTGAAGTTTCACTGAATTATTAAAAATAAACCCAGTTTTTTTTGTGTTTAGATTTCAGATGATAACAAAAAAGTAAGACGAAATCCCGAGTTACCAATCCCAGAGATGAATGAGGAGCGTCGCAAAGAAATGATGGCAAGAACTATCTATGTTAAAGGTTTTGCTAAAGATTTAACATTGGACGACCTTCTGAAGTTCTTCAAAGATTATGATGGTGTTGAAAATATTATTATGAGGAGATATCAAGATAGACAGACCAAGAAGAGACATTTCAAAGGATCAATATTTACAACTTTTAAGACTAAAGAACAGGTATGTTAATAAAGATATATTTTAGTAAGTATCCTCGAACTAACTAGACATAAAAAGAGATGGATGGATTGCATGAAAGGTGACATGCTCAAAAAGGGAGTGATGACTGAGATGGTATATGATAGAGTTATTTGGAGGACAAAAACCTGTAGCGCCGACCCTTTGGAAGTAGTATAACAAGGAAGATATGATGATTTTTAGTATCTATCTTCTCACGAATTTAAAAATTATGACAGCACTGGAAAATTTTACTTGAGTTGAGGTGTTTTTAGTTTGTTTATAATTTCTCACAAAAGTTTAAACAGTTTAATATTGTTTAATCCACATTTTTTTGTTTATGCATACTTAATAGTGAGCCATTTTCATGTAAAGATGGAATTTAAAAAAAGTAAAATGTACTTAAATATAGAAAATTTTCAAAGTTTAACCCTAAGGTTTTCCAAGTTATGGGGTGGCTTTAAATTAGTTAATACATGTTACAATAGTTTACGATTGTATAATCTTTCAGGCTGATAAATTTATGGAAAACAAAGGTCTGAAACACAATGACACAGAACTGATTATTCTCTGGCAAGACAATTATCTGCAGATGAAGCATGAGGAGCATGCAGCAAAGAAAGAACAGAGAAACAAGAAAAATAAGGAAAGAGAAGTGAGTTTTTTTACCATGTTTACCTATAAAATTTAAAAAAAACTAAAATTACATTTGCCTGCAACAATGCGGAATAAAAAAAAATAGTAAATAACCTTTTACTGTCTAAAATATGTTCTATATCTTTAAAAATATCCTTCCATTTTAACATTTGTATTTACGATTTCAGTATGATATGTAACTTTTTCTTATTTTAGGAGAAAAAGGAAGAAAAGGAATTCAAACTGCCGACGGGCACTGTGTTGCATTTCAAGCAAGATAACGAAAAAATGACCAGAGAAAATATTCATGAAGCCTTAGTGGCTTTAGGTAAGATATACAAGAAAAATATTTAAAGTATTGTTACATACAAAAATGCACACAGTACTAGTATAGATTTTCACTACCATAATAAATCTTACTGTTTAAAATATCAAATTATTATAATTTAATTATCAGGTGCGGAAATAGCTTTTATAAGCTACAAAGTCGGAGAAAAAGAAGGTTGGGTGCGTCTCACTAAAGAAGATGCAGCGAAAACCGTAGCCGAGAAGATACCTGATGGTAAATTGACAATCGCGGAAACAGAAGTTGTGTTCAAACTTCTAGAAGGTGATGAAGAGAAGGCGTATTTAGATAAAACTATTGAAGAAATGGCGAAACGTCGCAGAAACCAGAAAAACTTCAAACAGAACAAGGGAAAGAATTACAAAGGGAAACAGAATAGGAAACGTAAACAAGACGACCATGGTGATGCGCCGCCGACTAAAGTTAAGGCTGATAGCTAATTAGATATTTGTACTGAAAGCATTAAACATTTATTAAACTAAGGATCCTTATAAAAACTATTTCAAAATATTTCCTATAAAATATGTGATTTGTAATAGTTGTTGTGCAGTTAAAGTAATTTGCTATAAAGAAATTAGAAACAACATATTTCAGTGCTCAAGTAAAGCTCTGAATAACACAAATATTGAATGTAAATGTAAGTTGATACCTAGGTATGCATTAAAATGCATATATTTAAAAACTTATTCTTGTAACTAATGTTACAGAAATTTGAACCTAATTTAGGAACTAAGTTCCTTTCTGTAATCTGCTAAATTTGTGTAATTAAAATTACTTTTTAAATAAACTTGTTTTATTCACTACTTATTCACGCATTTTATTCCAAACAAACATCGAGTTAAACATGTTTTTGTGGTCCCCTGTTTTCCGTATACAATTTCCTGCCGTTCTCTCAAGGCAAGTTCTAGGTCATCCAAGAAGTTGGGCGGGATATTTCTAGTCCCCCTTCGTGGTCCAATAAAGACCGATTAAGATTGAGAACCCTTTTTACTTAATGACTCGTTTTTAAATGATTATGAAAGCATGTTATCAGGTCTGATGTAAGTGGCAAAATTAAGAAAATGTTAAGTGGATTTTGTTATGTGATGAAAAAATTGTCTATGTTATTAGAAAGTTGCGCAGTGGCTTAAAGATCCAGACCTTGTAATCTTAGAAAAAAGTTATGTGAATGACATCTGGTTGTTTGACATTGACAGTTGTTTGACAAGAATCAAAATAACCAACAACAACTGCTTTTGCCATTTAGTTTGCAAATTTGTTTACGCTATTGTTTAGTCGAGAAGAAAGTTTACATATCGTGATATGTGTACCCAATAGGATTACGTTGATAAAATAAAAAAATGAAGACGGATCCTGAATCAAGAAGCGAGTCCGAGAATCTCGGACCCGCGGTAACCGGCGATGTGATAGGGGACACTGCGTATAGCGAGCGCTTTGTATTGAAAATTCTTTTAAAATTAGCGAATTTGGATTCTTTGAAAGATGAATTAAACGAAAAGGTCTTCGAAGATGATATCTGCACTCTGTGGGATATGACGGTAGAAAGGGATGTTGTTTTATTCCTTTTAAAACATAAAGTGTTAAACCTCTTCAATTTTGCATTGCCAACTGTAGAAACACCGCGTTATATAGAGATATTTGTGGGTATAATTGGGAATATGTGCTGCCAGAAAGAAGCTGTACAGACACTAATAAAAATGGACGAATTTTTATATTTACTGTTAGATTACATTAAAACAGATGACAGTTTGATACTTATACAATTGCTGCGTTTGGTTAGTTCTGCATTATCTTCAGTTGACAGTGAAGACATTGTAATCTGGTTAAGCATGTTTGTTAAAGTCAACTATTCTGATGCATTGTATTATATCCTCAAAAACTCATCAAATAAACAGCTTTTAATGACAGCATTAGAGAACTTAAATACAATTTGTTCATATTGTAACATACAAAAGTTTAGAAATCAATATTTCGAACATTTCATTCATAAGGAAGTCCTTACTTCATTAACAACAGCTTTCACAGAACTGACTGTTACACAGAAAGAGAGCTTATCAAAAGATGAATTGGAGAGAATTATGGTTATAAGTTTACAAATGACTTTAGATATGGTTAGTTTTGAAACACCTACAGAATTATTTGATGATTGTAAAGAAAATGTTGCTACAATAATAAGCACTGTATTGGAATACTATGAAGCAAAACTTGTGCAAGACAAAGAAATTGATTCCGATCTTGTAGATTTATTGGAGTGTATTAACAATATAATTGGTATAATACCTATTAATGAAGAATGTGAACCAGAGAAATACTTTAACACATGTTATAGTATGTGGAAGGCTTTGAAATCAATAACAAAAGTAAATCAAAATGGCGACAGTAACTTTGAAGAAATAGATAAAGAGGAGTTTCAAGAGTTTGTTACAAATATGAAGCCATCTCTAAGTATGATAATGTGCAAATACATGCAGCAATGTCCTCGAGCACATCTGTTTAATATATTGGACAAAATTGGTGATGATAATAAGGACATTTTAATGTCACTCACTGATGGGGATTTAAAACTTGCTGTATCTAACAGGATCTTGGATTATACAACAAGATTAAATGATTTAGATTCATAGTTGTTTATGGTCTTTTATTTTAATCATTTTGGACACTGCATCGAAAACTTACTCTCTTAGCTATAATCTCATTCTGAAATAGGTTGGGAATTGAATGGTGTGAGCATTTGCTTATTTTTACACTTAGAAGTTTGTAGAGGTCCCATAATTTAAGTCTATGACTCCATAATCTCAAAAACATTATTGATTGTAAAGCACTATTGTTCTTGTCTGTCATAATTATTGAAGCACACTGTTCTTATAATAGTCTATATATTCTTTTTTTTCATATTTGTTTGATTTTATCACTATGTGGGTAGTTAGTAAATAAAAAACATCATTTATATGGGATTATATATTTTGTAGACATTATAAAGCAACATTTACATTACCATAAACGAGTTTCGTACCGTCGCGAGTGCAACGGACTAAAACTATTCGAATGTAACAGTACATCGTAACAACGATCGCACGGCGGCCATCTTGGCCTCGCACTCTACACATTTACTCATCACAATAAAAAAAAACGTACACCACAAATACTGAAAGGGAGAACAGAGATTAATAACTGTATATTTTACATTAAATGTACTTATAAACTAACTAACCACGAGCCTACTTGCCCTCGACGGGGCCGAATCGCACAATTTAAATATCAATTCGTAAATATTTAGAATATTATATCGTTAAAGAATAAAAACAGAATAAAGACTAGACTTTACACTGATCAACGACAAAATGGCTAACAGCAACAAATCGCGAGTGACGCCGCTCTGCGGGAGGCGACATATAACTTAAATATAAAGCGACGCGCGCCGCCACTGGCAACACCGGCCCAGACGATTCCAGTGTAGCCAGTTCATTCTTTTATTACTTCATAACGTATGTCGTATTTTCATACTGGCCAAACTTTTATTTTTCTTTTTACTATAAATATCCCTACATCGTCTGAAGAGTGTTGCCAGTGCACTCAAATAACTGAGCGAACAAATAATATAGCATCCTTAAAACGTAACATGTGACATTCGCCACCGTCCCGCAGAGAACTATATACACTACAAAACATACTTGATACCTACTCAATAAATTACATAAATTATCTGAATTTAAAAACAAATCTTAGGCTTCTGATAATTTGTCGACACGACAGCTGTTAGCTACGCTTGTCTGCACATTACCACTGTCCTACTTCTAGTAAGAGAACAAAATCTATGACAAAAATAGATTTTCTCGAAACTTATATAGGGTGTCTCAAAATCCCTTAGAACATTTTAACTACCTATTTGTAGCAGATTGTATATTTTTTAAACAAAAGTTTTTTTGCAGATAGTAAGACAGTGCAATGTGCAGAATAAAAGGGAACAAGAGAAATAATATTTACAAAAAGAAGCGTAGACAGAACTAGCCCGCGAGTGATACGAACGCGCAGTGAACCCCATTTGTACTGGCAGGGATATGTATATTGTATAACTTGTGACATTGAACAGTTAATTGCATTGCTATTCTTATATCAAATCTTAACGTTAGAGCATAATTTACTTTGAATTTTAATATATCCACTTCAAGTTTCGTCATACAATACGAGAGAAAACTGTAAATACTTATCGTATAAATAGTAAAAGCGAAATTCCAACAATACTTTACGATAGCCAAAACCCATCCAATTTGTATATATTTTTGAAATGGTCCATTTTTGGCACATTATCGTCCAAATATGTGTAAATAATACTATGCGACGCGTGGTCTGGCAACACAACGCTATATTTATAGGGTTACAAGAATATTTAATTGAAGCCATTTTACCTGATATTGTAGGAAATTTAAATTTTTAACGTGGCAATACTCACTTTCTTAGTAACCCCACGTAAACGCCCGTTTCAATTACCATAGACATTTTTTTAATCTGTATCTTTTTAAATAACAAAATGTATCAAAACACTAGTTTAATTATTTCTTTTCATACATCGTGATAGAAGCCTCTTTAAATTAGATCATTTCGTAAAGATCTAATGTGCGTGTTTGCAACATACGTACAATTTGGAAAAAAATAAGAAAATGTCTATGGACAGTTTGAAACGGACCAAAGCCCCTTACGAATAACATCTTTGGTACATATTTGTGAGCAAAGACAATCGAATATCTGTTCGAAATAGACAAGCCTTAAAGCGACAAGGATGCTCAAACATTGAATACTGTTGCCAATATATTATGAACGTTACGTCTGACGTATTAAGGTTTTAATTCCACCGATGAATGTGTTCACTTTGGCCGATGGTACCTTAAGGCTGGAAATCACTGGAATGTTCACATCGACGCACGTCTCAAGGACACATTATACAAATATTGCTTTATTTTAAGCGTATTAACTCCGAGTAGGCACGACATCTATTTTGTACTTACACGAAACACTAAACACGATTAAATATATAAATATATTAGAAACAACCTAAGTCCCCGTTTTCGTTGTCTTGAACGGACTGCGTTGATAATGGCTACAGGTTAAGGGTAACTAGTTAGCACGGCTAGGGGGCAACGGATTATAATTTGTCAAGTATTTCGCGATGGATCACTAAAATATTCATACGAATACTAAAACACAATTATAACAGACGAAATAATATTCATATTTCAAAATAAAACTTCACGATCGCGAAGATTTTGTTCGATTAGAAATCGAGAGATCCGAGAAAACTTGTATGAAATCTATCCGACCATCTCATTATTTTATTTGCAACATTAAAATGACATCAAAAATAATTATTGTCAGCGAAAAACACAAGTTTTTAGGTATAAATATTGCAAATAGCATTTCATGCAGACCATTAAATAGGACCATTAACAAATTAGATGAAAACCAATCCGATTGACGAATATCGATACAATATAACATACAAATCGAGTAATCAACACATCGAATAATCGTAAATCGAATTGATCGTCCGATTGAGTGGATAATCGAATAGAATCGTACGATAAGACGTAGGAAAAGACGTGACTGGGGAACAACAACACTACAATAAACGAGATTGCTCTCCGTGGGTGAGCGAGGTGGAGGGCTGCGCCCCCTGAGGCCTTGCCCCTAGGCCTACGCCCCCGAGAAGCCGTACACCTCGAGGACTCGTATCTCGAAGTCCCCGCTGGGGCAGAGCGGCGGGTTGTTGAAGGTGGAGCAGCGGTCAGTCTTTCCGAACCTTATGTTCTCGTCCATCCAGATCGCCTGCCCGTCGCTGCAATACCAAACATTACATATTAACTGACAAAACTTGTGTTCAGCAACTTTTTTCTTACTAATATTAAAAATGCAAAAGTTTAGATGGGATTGGTTCAGAGTGCGTAGCCTAAACTGCTAAACGAATCTCGATGAAATTTAGCATAGAGGATAGTCTGGAAGAACACATAGGCTACTTATTTCAGTTTATTTTTAAATTCCACGGCGGAGTCGCGGGCGAAAGCTAGCTGTGGAAAATTTTACATACATATTTCATTTATTATTTCCTTTCTATTTAAAACTATTATCGAGTCCATGTCAAACAGGTGTAGTAAAGTCCCTAGTCATTTTCCCCATATCCATATAACCTGGTGATCACGAACTTTGCCTCTACCTACCCTCCGCCGATAGTAATCATGGTGTTATCAGCCGCCATGAAGAGGGAGTTAGCATGCGCGGTCTTCTCGCCCTCGCCGTCCGCCTCCTGCAGACAGCCGACCCAAGGGTATTTGGCACGGACGGGGTGCAAGCTGCAAGGGGGTAAGCAGAGTGAGACTAACCCGCCGCCGATGGTGATCATCTTGGAGTCCGCGGCCATGAAGAGCTCGGAGCCGTGCGCCACGCGGTGCTCCTCGCCCTTGCCCTCCGCGGCCGCCGCGCTGGCGGAGCACCCCACCCACGGGTACTTGGCGCGCTCCGGGTAAAGGCTGGAATACGCGCCGCACATTGATAGTTTTCACTACAAGTATGCTCTTACTAAACTTCTACGTAAAATTACTAACGTCTAAAACCATCAAAGAACAATCTGAGCATAATGCTATAGTGAAAACTCACTTTAAAGTTCATAGAATCTTCTCTCTATTAATTAATTTGAAACTGAATTCAATTATTAAATTAAGATATTGTAGATGGATGAAAAATCATTTTTTTTTAAATCTTCATCAAAACATTTAAATATCTGAATACAGGAACAAACGCAATAGGAAGTATAATTTATATTGTTAAAAGCAATAAAAACGAGAACAATATAAAATAAATTATTTAAAAAAAAAGAACTTATACAATAGTCTAATAAATCTAAGATAGTAAAGATTAAAAAGTATTAAAATAAGTAACTGCTGTTAAGTTGTAATACATGCAAAGCTAGAAATATGTAAGTAAAGTAGATAATAAGGCAAAATAAGAGAGAAGATAAGTGCAGCCGCGTAAAGCAAACTTTACCCGAAGCGATACAAGTAAAGAATTACTAAGGACTTACAGAATCTTACATATCTAATATATATTTTAAAATATTGAATTAACCATAAGGTTTCACTCCATTAAACTAAACCCAGAGTTAAGTAAAGGCAAGATTCTGTTAAGTTACTTGGTAATTCTTCTCAATCTTAACTTAAAAAAGATGTTTCTATAGATTGTTTCTATAGATTACATCCAGAAAACGGAATATATTTTCCGATAGTCTAAGTTCAGATTTATACATATCACATAATACGGCGTATACAAAAATTAAGGAAAGCAATTTTAAACATAAATATAAGTATAATAAAATTACTCCAAATGAATAAGGCATATAATTATTATCGATTGACAGAAAAAAATATTTCACGACTATATTCAGAACATATAAATATTACAAATGAGACCATTTATAATAGAAAATATAATAATATAAATGCGAAAGTGTAGATGGATGGATGTTTGTTAGAGTTTGTAGCCTAAACTGCTGAACCGATTGCGATGTAATTTGGCATGGATGTAGAGAATAGTCTGGAAGAACACATAGGCTTACTTAGTTTTCTTTTTTTTAATTCCGCGAGGACGGAGTCGCGGGCGAAAGCTAGTAGAAAATAAAAGATACATACAAAGATAAAGCAAAATTAAAAATAAGACATATTACTATAAACTAAAACAATAAAAAAATAAAGGTAATCGCTCTTTAGCATAGATCGGAGTAGGTAGATTGTAAAGTCGGACGTCAAACGTAGAGGATAATATGGACATGCCTCCAAAACCGGAACTTCATATTTATTGTTATATTTGTTTGTTTTTATATTAGACACAAAAAGGAATACTTTAAAATTACAATTCTTGAAAAAAACATTATAATTGAATTAATGTTGACAATCAAAGTACAGAAATTGTATCCGACGAGGATTAAAAATCATTTTTCTTAATAATTAAAAATTATTCATTATTAATGATTAACCAATTTAATAGTCTATCTGTATATTTTTTTATTATATTTAAAATCCCGGAACTTTTCCCGGCATGTCCATATTACAATATCCATGTACTCCGACGACTGTTAGAGTGCATTTGCTGACCTGAAGAGGAATGTCTCTCCGGTACCGAAGTACGCCTGCCGGTTGCCGCGCTCGTCCTTCTGGTTGCGTTCGAACCACCGCGTCGAGCAATACGCACCAAACACCTGAAATATACCACTTGACTATCTATACTAATATAATAAAGTATAAACAAATACTTTGTTATGCAGCAAAGAAACAAGATTGTTATGGTAACGGTAGACCAATGGCAAATGTCTTCATCTTACTAACATTATGATATAAATGCGAAAGTTTGGATGGATGTTTGTTAAAGTTTGTAGCCTGAACGGCTGAATGGATCTCGTTGAGATTTGGCAAAGTGGTAGAGAATAGACTAGAAATAATAAAAATGAAATTAACAACAAAGTTTTCACATTTAAAATTTTTGAACAAGTTCAGGGTAAAGGATTAACCAAAGAGTTAAATCTTACCTCTTACTAATCGTACTAATATTACAAATGCGAAAGTTAAGATGGCTGGATGGATGGTGGATGTTTTTTTGAAGTTTATAGCCTCAACGTCTGGAGGGATTTCGATGAAATTTGGTATAGAAGTAGGGGATAGCTTTGAAGAACGGATAAGCTACTCATTTTATTTTATTTTTTAATTCCACGCGGACGGAGTCATGGGGGAAAGTTAGTAAATCTAGAATTTTATATTAATATACGTACTTCGTTATTGCAAGTCTTTATCATAAGCAACGTCGGTTCGTGATGTTCAACACGAACGTAGAAGGTGGTCAACGAGCAGCCGTGCTCTTCCGTAGTATACAGTAGTACCGGCTGGTACATCGTGATCCTCACCGGCAGCCACGACCATAGAGTAAACAGCTGTAACACACGACCATAGATTAGACCATAGACATGGCTGAATTCCATACTAATCTATGGTAATAAAAAATAAATTATCTATGCTACTCTAAATGACATTGGAAAATTTTAAAAAATTGTTTTTAAACATTTAATAAAAATTAATTAATTGATATGTATTTTATAATTCGCTAATAATAAATGCAAAAAACAAACATAGACAATAGGACGACACAAAATTAGTGTCATTAGTTGACATCTACTTGTGCGGAGTGCGTTCCAATCCTTATGGTACAACGTTAAGACAGTCGGATTGCACGAGCATACACAGACAAATAGCATGCAGTATTAACAATGGTATTATGTATACAAATTAAAATACAGCATTTATCAAAAACAAAAGAAGCCTTCCGAATAGACTAATAAAATAACGATAAAATCTGAACTAAAATTATACAAAGCAACTGTGATTAATTTAATTTGATCCTATTTGGTGCAAATGGTTTTTTTTTAAAATAGAAAGATGAAATATCTATAGAATTACACAACTAGCCACGCAGAGAATTTGTAAATAAATCAAGAAATCTAAACAGTTTACTGTGAATTTGATGGTGAGTTTCTTTTAGTGTCTACAATTAATTATTAATATCTGTCGCGGTGACATTCTAAAGTTCAAACTAAAACAAAATTACTCATATTACAACCCCAAAAATACTTAAAGTGAAGAAACTATAATTACCAAAATAAGAAGTCGTACATTTAATACTACTTGCATTGTGACAACACTGTTTAATCTATGACAGAAATGCAACCATAGGTGTCTACCACAGACTATAACAGGAAAGCATAGAATATAAGTATAGACAATCAATGCCGCCGCGACATCTACAGCCCGAGTTAGTGATATTGACATCAACCCTAGTCCGGCAAACCTTCTGCCTGAGGTCTGACGAGTGCTGGCGCTGGTCCTTGAACACCGCGTTAGGGAATGGGAACCACAGGGCCAGGTGGGAGGAGCGGGGGCTCTGCGAACACCGAGCTACATCATGACAATGCTGTACCGAGTATGCTTGTAGAACACAGATTATAAAAGCTTTGTTTTTTATTAATGATTATGAATGACTTTTCTACCAGTTTCGTGGCATATCTAAGTTTTACAAATGTTTCGTTCCGTTTTCAAATGGACCATTATATCATATAATATTTGGAAGATTTTCAAAATCGGCACTTTTTAAAATACATTAAACGATACCTTGCGTCTTAGGGTTGATGCTTATAGATAAAGAATTTAAAAGATAAACAATTTACGAAATATATCAAAATTACAGAATACATTTAAATTGACAGACACTGATAGAATGACGCACTAAAAGACATGAAATAAAAATATTCATGCAAGTTTTATGGTTGATACAGACTGCATAAGTTTTTACCTTACATTTAGGATTCCACAATTAATATAAAAAAAGAGTCTAATTTGAATCTGAACCAACCATTGTACGCTTTAGGCCGATTAAAATAGCAAATAAAAATAACAACGAAAAAAAAAATCGAAGCGACGACGTCGAATCTCGAAGATTTCTTGTAAGCTAGGCTATAAATGAAATAAAATAAAAAACACCTAAGTGTTAAGCGGTGCATCTAAACATCGATAATGTCGCAAGCTACCAACGGAGCGACACTTATTTGTGACTTAATACTACTTAGGTCTTACTTCGCTCAGGTCTAGAATCTGCGACTTGATCGTTTGTATTGGGTAAACGCCCATCGATAGGGCGCGCGGGCCCGGCGAGTGGGAGCCCTAACGGAAAATCGACACACTGTTAGCACTCACACGAAACAATCGATAACATGCCACAGTCACATCACTAGTCGCGATGACTGCTTGCTAATGTTAATTTCAAAAGCTGTATTTCATCGCTTGGTACTCCAATTACATATTGTAAAAAATTAAAGAGATTTTTTCACACGCATGCCAATTCTTGACGCATAATTTTTTAGTGATGTCCTCAAAGAAATAAACATTTAAAAACAACGACATAAAAACATGAAGATCGTAAAAAAATCTGACATTCAAAGCTGAATGATATGATAGTTGATTTCAATAAAGTTTCAGCAAAAGAAACTAAATTCGATCATGAAATTGTTGTGGAATGATCACATCGAAGTAACACGACACCACCATCGACAAATCTGGCAACACAGACTGAAACATAACATAACTTCGTGTTGATTGGTTTGAGATGTCTCGCAAGTACGAGACATGTGTGGTCAATGTTCGGATCTGTTCAATCCGAGGTCTGAAGTTAGTCGTGTTAGGAACGCAATCGAATGATTTTATGATAAAGATAAGCCAAAGCCACGCCTAATGCTGTCGTGTACGATACCATTTGCTTGCACGTTTCCTCAGACATTCTCTGCAAATCAAGTAAAAACAATTCTAAACACATTATAATCGGTCAATTGGTCTGTTCTGTCGCGTTTGGGTGCTGTGTGTTTGTTGAGGACGTTGACTTGTGTCTTCGACGAATAAATCAAAAATGTAATTTTCAAATTAACGTTATATAGATTAATATGAAACATAGATCAAAAGTTCCCCTATTTTGTCATAAACATGTCTATAAGATCATATTTTATCTGTAAAATAAGGTTAATGTAACAATATTCATCATAAAAATAGTTGTTAAGTGTATCATGAGATTCGAAGAATCTGTAATTTCATTAAATTCTTAAATCAATTGAACGGTGCGCAGAATCACGCAGTGTTAATGCGTCTTAAGTTGGATATTGATATCGTAGTATACTGACCTCTCGTATAGTGAGGGTGTGGGACATCATCTGTATGTTGACCTGCGACTGGCTGGTGGGCAGGTTGTCGGAGGAGCGCGACCGCACCAGCCGCGAGCCCGTTATCACTTGCTTAGACTTGAGCGTCATCTCCGTCTTTATGAACACCCGTGATATGTACTGTGAACTGTTAACAAAATTCCTTTTTAAACTCTTTGAAAGAACACAGATTAATTATGTTTTTTTACAGGTGTTTAGGTCATTACCTAAACACCTGTAAAAAAACATAATAAACATAATTAAGTTGTCATTACAACTCATGGTGAAGTCACAAACCTCAATGCCCGTATGCTAAAAGCGGTGCGGAGTAGCTTTGTGGGTGAGGCGGGCATGTTGCGGCAGAACTTGTCGATGGCGTGGTCGACGCCGCTCTTGCTGGCTTCAGCGTACCACTCCGAGCTCGTGTTGGCGCAGTGCTTATGGAACAGGATGAGTATAGCCAGCGCTACTCTGTAGAACACCTACAACAAAATAAATTGATAGTCTTAAACCTTAGAATTTAAATATCAGTAATTTATTGGATAATTCCTGCTGTCATGCAACGACTTGATTCGTTCTTCAGTGAACTTACCTTAATGCCCTCATTAAAGAAGCAGTCGAGGACACGCACGAGGTGGGGGAAGGGCAGCGCGGCGAGGATCCACCACTGCCAGTCAGCGTAAATGCGCTCCGGCCCGATGGCGCCCGACAGCCGCGACAGCTGCTGCGCGGCCGACTTCTGCAAGCAACGCCCGCGTTACGGGTACTCGCGACAACGATAATATTATCGCGGTATTTACACAACTCTTTCGTCACTGCCACATTCATACCTCACATTTGTTGGGCCACGATCGTTATTAACGATCTAAAACGATTTAGGGTAAATCTGAAATTCAAGTAAGCTTCTTATCATGATTATACAAAAGTCGTTTCTTCACTGGATGTATTAACTGATTATTCAACTGACCTAAAGAATGTTACACACTAACCTAACTTGTAAAAATATATTACCAGTAACGTTACGTTATTTAAATTCAATCCATAAGTCAATATAATTTTCAGTTTATAAATGAAAATTTAAACACTTGTTTCGAATAAACTTAAAAACTATGGAACTAATTTAAAATTTATCCTTTCAATGATAGACTCTTCTATCAGGGTGTGTTTTAGTCTATTTTTGTTATACTTGTATACCTACACTGAGATAATCCGAAGTATATTACTAATAGGAAATAAAAAAGTCTCATATGTGAACCAGGCTTTATACCATTGCGTGTTCGAGCGTCACAATGCTGCCTACTATCGGATCCGCCGCCACGGAATCACACGCAACAAAAACATCAGACATTTTTTTATTATTAGAATTACAATGTTTCTTTACTTACTTATGTTCAACGTACTATTTTACAATCAATCCAAAAATCAATAAAACATTTTATAATCTGGGTTATGGAGGCATTTAAAAAAATAATTGAAAAGCAGTAAAAGTTCCAATTAAATTTACAATGCTATCCGCACGATAACTAAACAAAAAAGAAGAAAACTAATAGAAAAATAATTAAAAGCCACGATTCATTGTATTCTATCGGACAGGTATCTATTTGCAATAAACCATAACGTGTAATCAAACCAGTACAAATACCACAACAAAGGGCCAAACGTAATCGAACCCATAAATATTTGATAAGAATGTCGGGAGGGCAGAGGTGTACCGCGGGTATCGATTCCCGCAGGGTGAACGACACCAGGACGCAAATCGATGGAGAAACTTTAAACTCTCGAATTGTCACTTCAAATATCAGGAAAGTCAATCTAACTTCCTTAATCTGGTTTCAAACTTTATACAGCAATGTCAAAATCATATCTTACGGCATGTTTCTTGGCGATCTGCATAACCGTCTTCCAGGTAACTTCGTTGTGCAGCTTAGTCTGGGTGATGAACATCTTCTCTTTGGACGCCACCAGGCTCGCCATGCAGTGGTAGCACTCTTCCTCTGTGAACAATATAATATAGTAAAATAGCGTGTCTAAATGTTCAGATGTCTGAACATTGTAAAATAAATCGGGAAGGATTCTCGCTTTCCAAAGTAGAGATGTTGAAGAAATTGAATTTGTGTTACTGTAACCTAAATGATAAACAACATCGCTCGCAAGGGTTTATTAAATAGTTCAGAAATCCCTGGAGCATAAACATGGAAGCGGTGGGCAATGTTGCGCGAATGTATTCAATTATCGCGGCAACTGGGCGGGAACGGCGAAAGTGTGCGGAGGCAAACATAAGAGTACACAGCTCGTATTGAGCTTAGGGAATATCGTAAAATAACAGATACTTTGTTAATACGATGTTAGTTAATTGAAAGCTTTACCAATAATATTATACAAGTTATGTCTAGACGTGAGTCAACAGACAAATTAAAGTTTGAGCATAAAATTCATCACATTAGCTAGCACAAAGTCGTTAACTTTTCTGAAGGTAAATTTTGAATGCAATTAAAATCTGTGCCAGCTTAAAACTCGAAAAGTTGGATATAAAAACATATCTGAAACAATTGAAAGTTGAAGGCCTCATCGCAATGCAGCATCGATGCAGTTATACGAAAAACGTTTACTGCCATTTCGTATAAAAAAAAACTATTCAGAATAAAAACCCAAAATTTGCAAACTAAGGAACATCACTAGTAGCCATAAAAATAGTTTATTACCCTTGATATGTCTTTGTTGTATTATTTACTGAATTCTGTAGTTAACAAATATTTTTTTTATTTGTTGTACGGTATTGCCAGATGAAAATCATTAAGAGCGCGCACACACTTGAAACTAAACTATCGTATAACGTTTAGTATTCCTAAGAGCTTATATGGAGGTGCGCACACTACTACATTTTAGTTGTGCAACTAAACAGTTCAATTGGCTGCAAAACAATCGACAATCGCACAACGGTTGTGCGATTGTTTAGTCAAAGATGTGCGCCGCTCTAAGTTGACTGGGAGATATGGATGGGGTGCATAATCAAGCAATTAAAACGTTATTAACTAAAGTGTAAAAGAAACCTTTTAGAGAATTTCCATTTGAAATTAATAGGAAAGGTCGAGACCCAACCATTTGAGGTTAGCGCTGCTGTTACTGAGTGGTGTGTTGCTAAGTGACTCCCCCCACTTTCGCCCCGGGAGACGAAAGCCCCGAAAAGGCAAACTGTGTCGTCCATTAACGTGAAACGAATTTAATTATTCAGAACTTTGATATAAAGACGCAATTTTGTTAGACGTATCTTTGAATTTCGATCTTTTAATTTTTAATGAAAAGGCCTCTACTAAAAAGATATGTTGATACAATATCTTACTGATATTATAAATGCGAAAGTTTGGATGGATGTTTGTTAGAGCTTGTAGTCTAAACGGCTTGACAAATTTAGATGAAATTTGGCACAAATGTAGAAGATAGTCTGGAAGAACACATAGGATACTCACTTTTGTTTTTTAATTCCACGCTTACGGAGTCGGGGCGAAAGCTAGTTAGGATATAATTCAATGATATTTACATAAAACATTTATGAAAGTTGAGTTTGAGCCAAATTTTGTTGGTATAAAAGTGGTACAAAACTGTACCAAACGACAGGTATATAAAAAGGATAGAAGATTTCATTTATATATCAGTACAATAAAACAATTAAATTTTATCAGATAAACCCACGTTCACGTGTCCGAGGCGGCCGATAAATGTTTGATTGTCTGTTCATAAAACGTGAGCGGTCTCATAGCCGGCAGTAAAACGTCTCTCTGGACGTTTATTGCTGCCCACGCCCGCTAGATTGCACTAATGTAAACCAATCTTTATATACCTTGTTATATATCGGAGTTATTTATACTATTGTTAATCTACGATTTAGATTGTTATTACTGAATTATCTAAAACGTTTATAAACTGTCAGGCGCAGATAACTAGAGAGACCAAAATAAAAACCAACTAGTGATAGAAAGTTAAAACTTTTGTTACAGATTTTTGAGTTCCTAAGCATAAAACTTATCTGGCCGATATTATATTTATTGAAAACTTTAAAGAAACATTTGATTATTTCAAAACACAACATGTACCTAGCTCTATGCACCTCTTTTCTTACGGATATTATCATATAATTTAGTCTACGTTTGACTATTTTTTTCAAATTTATTATAACAACTCCGGTTCAGTACTTAAATTGTAAATACATGATCGACGTAACAACAGATTGCTGGTTTGGCAACGTGCCAGAGAGAGTCTCGTCTTTCGACTTTCTACATCACATAAATCGTGGCAACTGCCTACTTCACGTTTGATCAGAGGTCACAATAAATTACATTTTATACCAAAAAGGTAAGGTCTGTTAATGTTTATTACATAAGATAAATTACATTATAATAAAGAATTATCATCTCCCCGTCCTTATGCTACTCCCGTAGAGTCAGCGCAAAAGTTTTCGTCCTCCAAGTTAATCTGTCTACACTCCCTTCTTGATCACATTTCACTCAACCTATCTTTTTCTACTAGGCCTACCTCTACTAGTGGAGGATCCACACTCTTCCAAGTTCTCATTAACTGTATAACATACATAAAAAGCTACTGTGTCGTTCTTTTATTTCTTGTAAATTATATAAGCTGAGTTACACGTGTTTGATTCCATTAAAGTAAACATTTTAAGATTGCTGTTATTCTATCCGGCCTACATATCTTATTTATAGCATTTTATATCATTGATAATAAAGGCCGCTTTATACACAGAAACATTTCGATTAAGGTCTTTGACCTCTGATTATAATTCACGGACAAACTAATATTGATCGTACGCGGTCACATGGCTAACAAACGTCAACAAAACCTCCACGAATTTAATACGAAGTAATTTGAAATCAATAACAAAGGCTTAAAGGTTAAAATAACTTTATGAAAAAGCTTTAATCATTAATGTCGGTCGTTAAAAAATGTTACGACTGCATGTTACTTCTGTCGATGACAATTTTTTTGCGGCTTCTGATTTCAATGTTTGGTTCAAATGAGGTAAAAAAGGCTATATTATTTGTTTAATTACATTAGGTTAATAAAAGTAAATTCGAAAAAACTCTAGCAGTTTACTTTCGTACGAAAATAACTACGATAAATTATATCTCAATAATAAAAAGTTATTTTCAGCTTCCATTTTCTGAATGTTTGAAATTTTCCATCAAACCACTAAGTGAACTACGACGTTGTACAATTTATCAATTTATTTAGATTTAAGATTTTAAACATTTAATTTCAATAGAGTGAAATTGAGCTATTCTTGTAAACATAAAATTGAAAAGATTTGAAATAAACACAATGAAAACGTATCTTTTTGTACACATTATTGTTTACATATTGTCTGAAACAACTTTATTTTTCATTCGTAAAATTTAAAACGATATCCGTATGATGAATCTGATCAGAGGTTAAAAAATAAAAACATTTACTTAAAAATACTGATAAAAAAGTGATCTACTTTGTCGAAATTACCCTTATCTTAGTACATTAAAAATAATTACAACCGTACTATGTTATCGTCTGCAAATTAAATGTGATGACTGATGAACAAAAGATTGACGGAAACACTCACAGCAGACGGAAAAGTCACGATCTTTGACCATATCGATAAAATTCGTTTCTTTAATGTAGTGACGTATGTTGCACTATCGATAAACTAATTATAGTGATGTGACAAAGATCGAAATAAAGCTTCCGCTTTTATCAAACGTTTCCTAGTTTCTCAACTTAAGAAAACTGCTAATGCGTGTCATTGTGCGTTTTATTTTTTATTCGCTAGGAAATCTATAAAGGTTTTTACACATCTTACCAAAGCAACTACGCTGAAATCCTTCCTTGTGGTTAGAACAGTTCTTTTTACTAGTTTTTTCTATGACAGTCAAGTGTTTTTCAACTACAATACTTCTTAAGAGAAAAGGGATTATAAAAGAAAACTTTTTTTTTACATTACGATTTATGATCATAAGAAAAAGGGGCAAGGAATCCTTAACTAAATTACATTTTAAATTACACAAACTTGGAAGGCTGATTCAAAGAATCGTATATGATTATTTAATAGCACCAGACCATTACAGTAGTTACTTTGCTAAAGTAAACTTGATTTACCAAACAAGGGTTAAAAAGATTAACTCTTAAATTGTTGGACTTGAGTATACGAAGTTAACAATTACTTTTTTATCATCGCTTAATGGTTTTGAGTCATTCGTAGTCGTATAATAATTTTCTTCGGTCTGCGTAAAAAATCAAGTCAAAAATCTGAGGTTCACGCAACAAAGTGAGTGTTTCTAGAAGTTCCTATTTCTCTATAAAGAGATTTTAGGGGCTAAAGACTGTGATTGGACAATAACACAACTTGTCCAGATTTCACTGTAATGCATAACTTTGTGTAATGAAATAATAATTTCATCCAATAAATGTGTTTCCAAATGTGCTTATAATGCATAATACCATAATCATGTCACAGATCATTTATAAATCCCCGACAGGCTCGATATTGTACTAAAATGAACGTAATTATCTCGATATGTGACGTTAACGGTCGCTCTCCGATCACCTCCACCACGTATGTTTTTCACCTTGACATTGTTTGTGTATTTCGGCTATTACTGACAACATACAGAGTAACGTACTTCCTTATAGCCAGTTTATTATGAAAAATTACATTGTTTTTGAGACAATGAGATAGGACATAAAACCCAAAAAAGTAAGAATTCACTGTTCAAAGAAACAATCCAGATATAATTTCCAATTATATTTGGATGTGACGTACTCCTCTTGTTTCCTAATTATCATTTAAATATAAAATGAATATTAAAATTAAAAATCTATTAGCTAAACGTACGGATACATAGTCCATCAAATCGGTATAACAAAGACTTATGACGTCGATTATAAACATTTTATATTTAACCTAATTTAATAAATTGCCTACAACATACGTAAGACTCCTACATCATTCAGC